CCTGGTGGCCTCCGTCCGTCTGAAGGTGCTCCCGGAGGAGAGGGCAGGGCAGAGCGCCGGGCGAGTCCGAGCCGCGGGTTATCGGTGTGCTGTCTTACCCGTCTGTAACGGGGCGCATAAAAAAAAAAAAACGTAACTTTTCGGAGCGATGCGAAGTGTTACCTGTTTCAAAGGGTAAAACAAAGCAATTGGACGCGTGCGCTTACTGGCGAAATAATCGTAGAGGGAACGTGCTGACAGCAGTTGTCGAAGAGCTCCGGGCGAGTCCGAGCCGCGGGTTATCGGTGTGCTGTCTTACCCGTCTGTAACGGGGCGCATAAAAAAAAAAAAACGTAACTTTTCGGAGCGATGCGAAGTGTTACCTGTTTCAAAGGGTAAAACAAAGCAATTGGACGCGTGCGCTTACTGGCGAAATAATCGTAGAGGGAACGTGCTGACAGCAGTTGTCGAAGAGCTGCGGAAAAGTAAACTTTCTTCTTGGAGATTGCTGACTTCGTGCAAACGTTTGACTTCACGTTACTGAGTCTGTAGGCTCTCGGCAGCCTGGTAGCACAAGCTCAGCTCGCACCCTGGGAGGAATCCGCCTGCTCAGGGTTTGGACCTACCCTTGTCATTATCAGATGTATTCTGAGCTGAATATCCCTTCTTTTGCCTGTGTGTGTGAAGTAATTGACGTTTTTCAACTATACTATGTAATTCGTAGTACCATCGGTTCCGGTCAAATAAAAATATCTCAAAAATTAAGTCCAGGTGTCATGTTTTAATACATATGTATAACGTAGTTGTTATCATGCTTCTAAAATACATTGTTTGTTCTCAGATCTTAGCTGGTTGCAGGTAAAGAATAATTAAGAGTAATGAGATGGTATGATAATAGCTTTTATGTTAAGTTGGATAAGTACAAAATTGCTGTTAAGAAATTAACATAGATAATACTTAGTACCTTGTATATAGAGACCAGTATCCTGACTGTCAGTGTGCAGAGTTGTAATGGAAGATGTTTGTGCTGGCCTTGCCGCTCGCCATTCTCAACAAAACATTTCAGTCATAGAAAGTTGGTGATTTTACTTGTGTAGTTTTGCAGAAATACTCCCCTTTAAATACAATACTCTCAT